CTGTTGGGGAAGAAAATCGAAGGTGAGTGTGTGCTATGTTTTTTTTTTTTTTTTTTTTACCTTGAACCAATATTACTACCATTTTAGAAATTATGAACATAAAGGATGGATTAGGTGAATGTAACGTGAATGAATATCAATGTCATTTTGGAAACTATGTAAATTAGGAACGAATTCGAAAAAAAAAATATGGAACGAACATTAATCTTGTATCTACTGTATTAGATGAAATATAGATGCATTATTCAACATAAGCTTTACACTCAATGCTGTAGGTCGCTGGCTCTTGAAATAAACTAGTCCATTAACCAGCTATTAACTCTACAAAGAATATGTAAACAATACTCCAGCGTGGGAAACAGCCCTGAGTGTCTGAAAACCCGCGTTGTTAACCTCCTCTTAGCAAAGTTTATCATCATTAAATTGCAATCGTCGATTCCGCCTCTTTGATCTTAACCGCGCTGTTGGAGTGGGCGTTTACTCAGCTTAAAAGACGTAATTAGAGGCATCAGCGGTATGAATAGAACTTGTAACGATACCTATACGATACTAGCATGGAGACGTGGGTTTGTAGTGTGAATGATGCAATAAACACGGACGGTTTTCCAAGGTCTTGTGGGAAATTCGTCCTTGCCTCCTGTCCATGAGCGACCAGAGGAAAATTCCAGCCGACGCCCGATTTCCTTTTCATTCTTGTTATCACCGTGACAAAGAGGTTGGTTTCCAGTCTCCAACCAAGAGAGACAGATTCAACAGGGCACATGATACAGCTGACAACCTACCATTCCCCATACCCAATACCCATTGTTACAATCGTACAGCAGATTAAAGTGATATCCGCTAACAAACCCGAAATCCGCGGAGGATTCTGGACTCTATGTACAACTGGCATAGGAGCGAGTTTACCCTCGGTGTCTTTAGCGGCCTCCTGCCACCTGTTGTCAGCGACCCAAATGGTCTAGTGAACTACTGCACCTTGCAGGCTTTCACACCTGTGCAACTGGCTCTTGATACCTGTATTGCAGTGTCATGATGCCAATATAAATCTGACGGAGACGTACACAGCCATGTAATATGCAGTCATTGCAACCCTGTTTATTCTTCTATTTCTCTTAATTTCCATTTATTAATATCATGATCCCTCTTTCTTTTTTTTTGCTCATGGGGATTATCGTCCCTGCGAGGACCAGATGCCGAGGACGGACACTGGTCTTGTGAAAATATAAACGCGATATACGACTTCCCTGCTGTGATGGCCGTACCCTGCTCCATTCTACTGTTCGCAGACGGTACCTTCTCCTCTCCCAGCCGCACCTCGGATGTTCGCGAAAGCCTTTGCACCTGACGACACCCCGAAGGGAAAAATACTTAATAGGAAAATGGGAATAGATAAAGGGACATTAGTTATTCCGAAGGGCGAGGACACCCATTGAAAGGGACTGTTTACTTTTACCTGATGGACAGGTCAGCGCGACCCCCCGTCAGGTCAGATCAGTAAATGACCCCGCTTCGAAGGACAATAAATCTGCATAATCTCGCTTTTGACTCGCGAGGCGGAGGGGGAAAAAAGGGCGAATTTGATATTTGTCTCTTCTCAGTATTCTTTGCTTTAAAAAAGTTGTTTTCGGCGTGTTTAGGGAAGTTTGTGTTTTCACTTTCTACATATTTGTTTATCTAATCACTATGTAGTTTTAAATAAATTCACCCCGACATTATCACGCAACATACAACCCAAAATAAGTAGGCATACCATAGGCCTACATACATGATGCGTTGAGTATAATAACCTATAATTACCAATAAACTACAAGGCCCGGACCGCACTTTGAAGCACGTCAGCCGCTCCTTGGGGTGTCCACGATAACCTCCAAAATGAAAAGAACCAAATTTGCATATCTTCGCCGCACTGTTTACGACACCGAACGTGATTCCGCCGGGCCCACCATAACACCTGTGCTCATCCGGGGAACCGAATTCTCAACAGGTGTTAATTTCTTTACTGTCGCTGTAACTCGTACTTCTTCTCTCCCCCCCCACCCCCCCGAAGGCGTCTCCTACTTGGGGTCTCGTTTCCCACGTTACTGAGCGCTTCTTTTTTATATGGACTCCCGAGAGAAACGCACAATTATGTTTCTCGTTTGGAAAGACCCTTAAAAGACGTTATAGCGAATTTTCGACATTGCGATTCTGTTTTTTTTTCTTTCTTTTATAAGGGGGGAGGGGGATTGTGGTAATCTTTCTAATTTGTGTCTTCTTGTTGCATCATTTTAAGTAGTACGATTTAATACGATGTATACAATGTATTACTTTTTTGTAGAGATGAAAAGAAAGTAAGAACGTTAAAGACTAATTGCGAATTAGCATTTCGTTAATGACTCCCAGAGTATCAAGACAATAAGCACATCCACGATGATATAACAAATGAATTGCACTTGTTACCCCCCTCCCCCCCAGATATAACAAATGAATTCCACTTGTTACCCCCCTCCCCCTCCCCCAAAAAAAAGAAGTTAGAGGAGGCGTAACAAAACAAACGAGAAGAGTTCAGCCCTCACGCAGGACTCGATTCCCCGATCATTTGTTCCGCATCACCGGCCACCACAAAAGAACGGTTAAGCCTGAAATATCCATTGTAAAGGAGGATTTTTTTAAAAGTAAGATTATACCTATGACCGACTTACTGAATATCTACGCATCTCGCTGAAAAAAAAAAAACGATTTACCTCACCCGCTGGGAATACTCGAATAGTTTTATCAGAAGAGAAAGTTCTTTACAGAAATATGCAGTCTCGTTACCCGGTACAGATAGTGGAGAACCGGCGAGAAAGGAGTTCTGTTTTATGGTTTATCTCCAGCCATCCATCACTTCCTCTCGGCTCAGTGAATGGCATTCCCTAGATATTAAGGCGAGCGGAAGAGAGGGAGAGAGAGAGAAAAAAAACAAGAGGGAAAGAGATAGAGAGGGCTAGGGAAAGATAGGTGAGTGAGTGAGTGAGAGAGAGAGAGAGAGAGAGAGAGAGAGAGAGAGAGAGAGAGAGAGAGAGAGAGAGAGAGAGAAACAGACAGATAGATAACGAGAATTATACCTGCAAATCTCGAATTTAACCCCGCAAAAAATAATAAGTAAAAAAAAATACAAGATATTTTCCTCTCGTCAAATATGCACGGTACTCGTCTCACAGCCTCTGCATATCAACATATCCAATATTAATGATGATTATGATTTTATTTTTATTTTTTTTTATATAAAGCCAACTTGAAGGCCATCCTCAACCCACAACAAGAAGCAGACGACCTCGAAGTGTGTAGACAAGACAAGTAGACGATTCAATCTCGCTTTTCGACAGGAGGAAGGCAGAGGGGGACGAACATGTGATTACCTGCGATCGGTTCAGGTAGGCCAGGTGGGTAGGGGGTTAAGATCAGGTGAGTAGAGGGGGGAAGGGGGGGGGAAACGGGGAAGGGGGGAGGCGGGTTTAAACGGGGAAGGGGGAGGGGGTGGAAACGGGGAAGGGGGAGGGGGGTGGAAACGGGGAAGGGGGTGGAAACGGGGAAGGGGGTGGAAACGGGGAAGGGGGGAGGGGGTGGAAACGGGGAAGGGGGTGGAAATGGGGAAGGGGGGAGGGGGGTGGAAACGGGGAAAGGGGAGGGAGAGGGTAGAGGTGAGGGACGAGGGTTGAAGATTCACAGTGGGGGGGGGGGGGGGGAGAATGAGGTCGAAAACACGGACTTAGGGAGAAAGGTCATGGGATAAAAAGGCAGGAAAATTTAGCTCGGTGGGTAGGCCTATGGGTGGGTAGCCAGAATTTGGGTTATGAGTTACGCGTGTGGTAAAGAGCTTGTGGAAATGGTAATAAAAAAGTGGCATAAATGCATTTTTTTTTGCTTCATTACTGGGAATAACACATGAAGGTACACCAAGTCAATTTTATAATGACGTAAGCCAAAAGGAAGACATAACAAAGTTTAATAATGAAAGAAAAAACAAACCAAGGAACAGCGAAGACGGTAAACAAAAAACAAAGAAGATAAAAAAGGGAAGTGGGATGTGATAAAGCGTGAGAGAATCTCTGCACACGAAACATAATGGCAAAAGATGTGATAATTTCGGACTTAATCTTATGTTCTTTCAACACGCGTTTGTACCTTGCTTCCCTGCTATGCGAAAGGGGGGAGGGGGGCAGGGCAGCGGAAAAATACCTACTGCGAAGTCATTTTTTTTCGAAATCCCTTTTTTCCCCCAATTCTCCACCAAATAACATCATATTTCTTTTGTTTTGTTTTTTGTCTTTTTTTTATCCTGATTCACCCATGGATTCATAACCAAAAAAGAAGCTCCCAGCCGCCTGGCAGACATTAAATTGAACCTCCAAAAGCGGGGACGCGAAGAATCAAGTTTCTTCTCCCGACAAGAAGTGGTTGTACAGTGGCTGTCAGAATTCATGATTTACGTCCTCTGGGGCACTGTTGGGAAAGCTCTGACACCACTGTTGGTACACCTGTGCTCGCCGCTTTGTTGTGGCTGTGTGTTAACTGTGCTATGGGTGTGCTATGCTATGCTATGGCTGTGGTATGGTAGGGATGTGACTGGCGTGTGTTAAGGCTCTGGTTTAACTGTGCTATTGGTTGTGCTAGGACCGTCGTGTGGTTGTGATATATCTGTGTTATGGTTGTGTTATGATTGTGCTCTGGATGTGCTATGACTGTACTATGATTATGTTATGAATGTGCTATAGCGTGACGGAACTGCGGTAGGAATCTACGCTGACTCAGTGCCTGTTTCGATCCAGGCTTTGGAACTTATTGGCGTTATATATATATATGTTTATTTCTCGAAGGTTAGTCTTCGTATATTGCAGGAATTAGTTGTCTTAATAGTGTTAATGTAAGGAGAGTGATGTAATGTTGTATTGATATCGAAGAAGATAGTAATAATAGTGACAATGGAAATGATGACAATAATAATAATAGAAATAGTAATGATGATAATCATCATCATT